CTCTCTCTCTCTCTCTCTCTCTCTCTCTCTCATTCTCTCTCTCTCTTTCTCTCTTTCTCTCTCCCCTCTCTCTCCCCCCCCCCTCTCTCTCTCTCTCTCTCTCTCTCTCTCTCTCTCTCTCTCTCTCTCTCTCTCTCTCTCTAATTTTATAAACAAGATTTTCATTTTTAAGAAATGCAAAATGGCGGCACGGTACGCCTGCCTGTCTTACACCGTGAGCACAGAAAAACTAAGAATTTGTTAAATAATATTCAAAATACTTATTAAGTCGAGTGTAACACTCATTCACTTATTTACTCTTGTAATAAGAATATAGCTCGTTTCTTTAATTTCTGAAGTGAAAACAGATGCTGCAATAAATACATCACCGAGACATGTTTCTGGAAAAAGAAATTGTTTATAATTCGATCAAAATTGGTTCGGTTATCTGTGAGAATTCGTGTTCGAAAGATGGCAAAAGACGGAGCGTGTTGGCTTTAGGCTAGATTCACTCGCTTTGATATTTCCCATGTACAATGTGGAAACAGAAAATATTGCTTTTAGAGTTAAAAGTTATCTCCAGTTCCAATCGATGCGCTCCAGAAATTCTCTCCGCTAAATCGTGTCGGTTCTGTTTCAAGAACGTTAATGCTATTATAGAGCCAAAATGAGCTGAAGGAGCTATTCTGTCTTTACGTTACTATATAAAAGTGCACAGGTACAAGCCCACGTGCCCGAAACACATACAGATATACTCACTCACATAAATTAATTACACACAAAGACACACACCACCATGATCCCCATAAATGACTAAGACTGTGACCGATGACTCTATCAACGTCACGTCACACCACTCCCTGTCCTCCCCTCCCCCCTCTCCTCTTTCTCTCTCTCTCTCTCTCGCTCGCTCGCTCTCTCTCGCTCTCTCTCTCTCTTTCTCTCTCTGTCTCTGTCTCTGTCTCTGTCTCTGTCTCTGTCTCTCTCTCTCTCTCTCTCTCTCTCTCTCTCTCTCTCTCTCTCTCTCTCTCGCTCTCTCTCAGTCCCAGTTTCCTACTCAGAAAGAGCAGTTAGGGGACCAGCAGTTCTGGACTTTTTTAAAATTGTTCTTTCATTAGATGTGAACGAGATGTGACAGACTGGTAGTATTATGGATGTTTCCCGGAGAGAAAAAGAAAAGTGAAAGGCACCGATATCGTCTAAAAAGAAGATTCTGGAAGAGATGATATGACAATGAATCAGCATAAAATGATTTTTGCCCGATAAACTGATAGTTGAGCATCTGCACTTGATCTGATAATAACAGGGAGAACCGTATCATATAATAGTATAAAATAATATTGGTTCGCATCTCAACCACCCTTGGAGCAAAAAGAAAAGAAAATTAAGGGAAATCACTCTATTTAATCCTGAGCAATATCTAGGAGAGCAGTTCTCGTGGTATTACGTCCCTTGCATTTTACCCATTTTCAAAGGACCAAGGAAAGCGGAGTTTCGTTAATTTCGGCTTTCGCTTTACAACGTGTTTTCTGTGCGTCGGTCAGAACT